AGAAAAAGAAAGAAAGAGAAAGAGAAGGAAGGAAAGGAAGAAAGAAAGAACAAGAGAGAGAAGAAGGAAGGAAAAAAGGATGGGAGGAAGGAAGGGAGAAAGAAAAAGGAAGGAAGGACAAGAAAGAGGAAGGAAGGATGGGGGAAAGAGAGAAGGAAGGAAGGAAAGGAAGAAAGAAAGAATGAGAGAAAAAGGAAGGAAGAAAGGAAGGATGGGAGAAAGAAAGTTAATATTTTCAAGTAAGCAGAAGAAAACAGAAGGAAGGCCAGAAAGAATGGCAGACAAATAGGACAGCTTTGAAAATTCCATACAAAATGTTCTATTTTTAAAAGAAAAGCCAGCTGTATCTAACAGAGATCTACAGTTTCAGTTACAATCTTCTGTTTCTGGATGTTTGTTAAGTTCAGAATAATAAACTTTAAAAAAAAGAAAGAAGAGCTGGCCCAAGCACAGAGACATTTCGGTGACTTACTCAGGCCACACAGGCTGGAGGGGTCAGAGGGGGACTTGAGCTCAAGTCTTCACCTCAAGGCTTCCTCACTATCCGCTACTTGGAGGCCGCTACCAATCAGACCTACCTGAAACTTCTCTTCTTGTGGCTAAGTACCCCCCATTCCTTCACCTAATCCTTATATAGTGTGAACATCAGGCCTTAGTCTCTACAGACTTAACTTCGGGTAATGATTTTTTCCACTTAGCAAGAGTCAGGGTTGTGCTGGTAAATGTTTAACAACCAGCTCTCTGAAAAGTCCACACTTTTATGTTTACTCTGTATTATTATTTTTCTCTATCACTTTCTTAAGTCTAGACCATCATAAAACAATAAATCAGGCTCTGATTTATATAACATTTGCTGATTTCTGAGTTAATTGTTCACACTGAAGATTTAACAATCAGCTCAGTTTGAGCAGTCTCCAGCACACCTTTGCTAGAGGCAATCTATTGCTGCACCTCTACACAAATACTTTCCGACTGAATAGGACCCAACCAAAATCTTTTGAGAACTCCAGGGCACCACCGTATCACAGCATGACCACTGTCCCTGTGGCGCAATGGGAAGAGGGCTGGATTTCAAGGCAGAGGACCCGGATTCAAATCCTCGCCCTGCCTTTTACTGTCTGCGTGACCTCTACACATTGCTCATCTGTAAGATGAGGAGAATGGAGGAGGTCCTCTTAGCTCTAGGCTATGATTCTGTGGACGTGTAAACAATGGAAGTCCTTCTTCATAGTATGACAGAAGGTCACCCGGTCATCTCTGGAGCTGGCACAGACCTTAGATGCCTCTAGCCCGACCCTCTCATTATACAGATGGAGAAACTGAGCCCCATGGGAGGTTGAGTGACTCAGAATGACAGTCTGTGTGTGTAATACTCTATGCCGTGACCAGCACAGACTACCCACGATGTCCATGGGTCCTCCATTCATCATTCAGCCACCCCATCCCCTTCCCCCCATCTCCCCAGTCCAAACCGCTACTCACTGTCTCCTGCTTCCCTGTGGGGTCTCAAGGCCATTTCCACCTTCTCATCTCTTTCTGCCCTCTTCCCTGGACTTTGCCCTTTGCTCTGGCCCATTATCACCAAGCTAACCCTCTGACTAACCCTTTCCCCAGGCCCAGCCCTCTTCACCCCTCCCCGAACCCCCAAGTTTGAGCCAGCAATTTATGCCGGGAATTCCCACTGCTATTCAGTGTGCTATGCATGTAAATATCTCATAAATGGCTTTTTACTATGAGGCATGTTTATACCTGAACAAATTATACTCTATTTTTGTTTGGAAAGGTGTAGGGCTCCACCTTCATTATAGCATGGGGCCCAGTAAGCTACATGCCCGAGCAAGTAAGAAAGCGCTCTTCGTATCCTGGCCTGAACCTGACTCACCAGGCTTAGAACAGATTCCTTCCACTCCAGCTGGGGTCAGGGTGGGAGTGGGGGTGAGGAGGGGAGGGGAGAGAAGAGGGAGCCAGCACGCACACCAGCCCATATGGAAATAAGGCTCTGCACTCCCCTCATCCCCAAGGCAAGGTCTGAATTCTCCGGGCCTCCAATGAGGCCTTCATTTCTCCCAAGGGACTGGTCAGGCAGCTGAACAGTGACCATGTTCCATGACAGGCCCAGAGATGGTGTCCCTGGTTCCATGCCCATCTTACTTTTTCCTGCTCGCTAAGACTCCTATTGAGTTATGAGGAGGCAGATTTCAGCTCAGCATAGTAAGGGACTTTCTAACAATCTGAGCTGTCCAGCAATGGTACAGGCTTCCCTCTCAGATAATGAGCTCCCCACCATTGAGGGTCCAAACACAGGAACGTTTGACCATCTGTCCAGAGGTTCTACAGAAGAGATAATAATAATAATAATAATAAACATAATAAACATCGTTTTATGCTGCATTATCTGGGGTAGGAAGATGGACTAAATAACCTCTAGGGTCCCTTCCAACCCCAAGATTCTCTGAGACAACGAGTTGCTCTAATGTAGGGTCTTCGATGTCCACAAGAGTCTAGGAAGTGTGGCCTTAAAAGTAGACAGAGTATGGATCACAGACACAGAACTGAAAGAGACCTCAGAAGCCATCTAGCCCAATACCATCATTTTACAGGGGAGGAAACTGAGACCCAAGGTGGTTAAGTGACTTGCCCAAGATCATACAGCATGAGGTATATTGGGCAAGCCCTCCTTTCTCCAAATCACCTCTTGGTATAATTCAGACTCAACGTGTTCAAAAGAGAATTCATTTTCTTCCTCCCTAAATATATCTTATCCACAAATTTTCCTCTTTCTGTTAAAGGTACTACTACCTTTCCCATTACGCAGGCCCACAACCTTGAAGCCATCTTTGATTGTTCCTTCTCCTTCTCCCACCTCGTTGCCAATTGGGTGTTGAGCTTTTTCAATTACAGCTGCTTACCACCTCTTGGGACCCTCCCTCACACTTTCACCACCTCTCCTCTCTCCTAGTCTATTTCAATAGCCTCCTAATTGGGTGCCTTCCTTCTATGTTCTGCCCTCTCCAGCCCATCTTTCACATGGATATCAAACTTAGGTTCCTGTAACACACCTAAGACCTCGCCATTTCCTTGTTCAAAAATCTTCAAAGGCTCCCTATTTTCTCTAGGATAAAATACAGTCTGTAAATGCCTCAGTCTGGCATTTAAAGTCCTCCACAGCCTGGCTCCTATCTACCTTTCCAGATATATTTAATAGAACCCTATCATATAGTCAAAATCCCATCTCCAGTCTCCATGCACACACAGGCTGCCACCACCACCTCTCATGCACATCTTAGAATCCCTAGCTCCTATCTTCTTCTTCTTCTTCCTCCTCCTCCTTTTAAAGGCCAGCTCTCCCTATCCTGAAAGTACAGTGGCCACTCACAGTCAGGATCTCACTATTAATCAGTATGGGAACTTTAACCTGCTCCATTTCCAATCTGGGACAGTTTGCCTTTCCTTAGGCAACCTGTTCACCCCTCCACCCATTGCCATATTGAGTCTGGACTTGGTAGGGACACCGTATTGACTTAGCCCACTGGAGCTCAGAACTCCTAAGCACAAGAGATCCATCAGCCTCAGTCTTCCTGGTGGCAGGGATTAAAGGTATAAGCCACCACACCTGGCTCCTAGCTCCTTTCAAGGTCCAGCTAAGGTATTACCTCCCGTAAGAAGACTTGCCTGATTCCTTCTAAATATTAGTGTTTTCTCTCTCTCCCAATTATCCCATATTTACTTAGCTCTATGCATAGTGTATATCATCCCCAACCTACCAATCAGTAGCAAGTAAGATCCTTTAAGGATGAGAATGATTTATTTTGTTTTGTTTTTGTAGCCCCAGGGCCCATGTGTTATAAATCATAAAAACTTAATAAGTGTTTATTGGAATGGTTTAGATGGTGGAAGATAGTCCACCATTAAAATTCTTTTTCCATTTGGAAAGCTTTTCCATGGCTCTCTATTGAAATGCAAATATTCTATGGGAGGGATAACACCCTAAGTATTAACCATAATTTAACACTCTATCTTGGAGCTCAGAATGAAGCCAGCATTTTGGGTGGGAGCAGCAATGAATGGGCCAAGATGTCAGAAGCAGGAAAGAATGACTAACGTGGAAGGAAGATGCTAGTTTTCCTGCCTTGATCATTCTATGATCAAGCCCAATACCACAGTACCCCAGTAGTCCTGAAATTTGTCCTACAAGCTCATAATCTATAGTCATGCTTGCTTGCCATTAGACAACTGGTTTACTCTATGGCTCAGACACAGAGTGGTCAGGAAGAAAGGGGATGAGAGTCTGAGTTGGTTCCCAGTCCAGACACCCTACATCTTGACATTCCTGCCTAGAAGAGAACCCTAGTCATCCAGAGGTCATTTAGGGAACTTGGATCTGGCCAGCTCCTTTTATGATCCTACCCATTTAAAGGGACATGGGTAGTAGGGGCAATGGGAAAGGGACCAAGCATCCAAGCTGCCATTTCATTAGCTCAATCATGCTACCCTTCCAAGGAAAAACCAACCCTACTATGAGCACTTTGTCTCACCTGCAGAAGTTAAGAGACCTCACTTACCATGACAGACTCATTCATGCTCTGCATGTGGAAGTCATCCATGCTGACCACAGTCCCACCAGCCACCACCTCACTGCCTCCTTGGCTAGACTGGGGGAGATCAAAGTATGTGCTGTCTGGCTCCCTGAGAAAAGATGAGGAAAGCCATTAGCCCTACTTGAACCGCTGGTCTAAATACCCTAACCTACCATTCCAAGGTTAGAGTTAACTGAGAATGGAAAGGAAATGGCATGTTTGGGGGAGGAGAGGAGGGTATAAATCGATCTTGTCACTGTGAAGGACCTGAGAGTATCCTGGCTTCAAACTTTTTCCCATTTACTTTTCTTCCTATGTACTTCTAGACCACCCCTCCCCACCCCTCCTCTCTTCTCCTCACCTTCTGGTCATCTCCTCAGCTCTCCTCTCCTTTCTTTTCTTCCCTCTCTTCTCTTCTTTTTTTATCCTCCTCTCCTCCTCCTCCTCCTCCTCCTCTCTCTCTCTCTCTCTCTCCCTCCCTCGCCCCCTTCCTTTCCTATCCTCTCCTTTCCTCTTGGGCTATCTACACCTCCTGGTTCTCTCCTCATTTCTCCTTTTGACCCTCTCTTCTCCTCTCCTCTTTCCAGTCCTCTCTCATCCTTTCTTCTCATCTCTTTTCCTCTCTCCCCACCACCTGATCCTCTTCTCTTCCCAAACTGAAGAATTTAAGTTTGTGACAGAGGTCATCTGGTACAACCTATATCTGAACAGGAATCCTCTCCCCAGACAAGTGGGTATTCCTCTTCCACTTGAAGACCTTGGGTATGGGGACCTCACTGTCACTCAAGGCATTCTCTTTGGGGACAATTCTAATTGGTAGGAAGTTTTTCCTTATCTGAAGCCAAATTTGGTGTCTCTGTAATTCCCATCCATTACTTCTAGTCCTGCCTGGTAGAACCAAGCAGAGCTAGGTTAATCCTTCTTCTACATGACTCTTCAAAGGCTCCCAGCAGTATTCCAAATGGCTTCTTGGTGCCCCACTCCTTCACCCCACTTTGTTCCCCAGTCATCAAGGTCTTTTCTACATCACCAAGGACGATCAGGAGGGCAATTAGTCTGCTCTGCAGACTACTAGGAAGTACCTACTTTTATATGATACATCCTAAGGAAAGGCCCTGGCATGGGTGCTCCATTTAGCTGCAGCTCCTGCCCACATGTGCCCATCTACCTATAACTGGACACCAGACCTGATGAGATGGTTGAGCCTAGTATGAGCTGAGGAAACAGCTCCCTACTCTTCTACTTCATCTCCCAAGGGTACAGACTAGGAAGGAAACTCACAGAGTACTCCAGAGGTGTTCAAACGTGGTTCCTTCATCTGCTGAGGAAGACTGGGACATCTTCATGGAGGGAGAATCCAGCCAAGGGTAAAACACTCTGGGAAGAGAGAGCACACCCTTGTGAATAAGAAGCCACTTTCCAGCTTCTCCAATTCTTTTCAAATGCATCTGTTTCTAGCCACCACCCACCCCATCCAAAGCCAGCATCTTCACTTTTCATGGGATCACAGATTTAAGAGACTATGAGTCCAACAACCCCATTTTACAGATGAGGAGACTGAGAAGGCTTACATAGCTAGTAAGTGGCTGAGATGGGATAGGAACCACCTCAGGGGTGGGGAACCTGTAGCCTCGAGGCCACATGTGGTCTTTTAGGTCACTGAGTGCAGCCTTTTGACTTGAGTCCAAACTTCACAGAAGGGCTGATGGAAGATAGGATTAATATTCTCCTCATTCTAGGTACTGCTACTCCACCCAACTAGCTATGGCTTGGGTGGGAGATATATAGGTTCTTTGTCTAGATTGCCCAAGGCTGGGGGGTGGCTCTGACCAAGAGTGACGTGGAGTCACTCTTAGCCCCTCACTGGAGTGAGCTCACTTTTCTTCGTAAAGTCCACCTCTCATTAACTCTTAACCAATCAGAGTTGATTGTCTCCCTTTGGAACACTTGTCTTCCAAGGACATAGAAGCCATGAGCCTGCTGCCATGTTTGTCTTTGGTCTAAGAGAAAGATGGCCATCTTGTCATTATTAATAAAATGATTAAATTACCCAGAAATTATACCTCTTGAATTTTTTAAATGCCACAACATTTATAGGAAATTCTTTTTACCCCCCTAAAAGTCAACTGAAGTCTGACTGATATTAATGGGAAACACACCAGTGGGAGCTTGTCAATGAGAGTACCAGAAACCCAGCCCCTCAGGGTTACCTCCTTCTTGGGCCCCTGCAAATCAATTCAAGTATGATTGAAGACGTAGTTCTAGAGAGGGTAGGACATAAACAAACAGATAATATAGGCAAATTAATGGAGAAAGGAGCCCAAAGAGAAATAACTACTGGGGACATTAAGAAGGGTCTCATCAGGGGGTGATGCTTGAGCTGAGCCTTGAAATAAGTCAGGTATTACAAGAAGCAGAGTGGAGGAGGGAGAGCATTCCAAGTATGGAGGACAGCCCACACAAAGGCAGGAAATGTCTTGTCCCAGAAATAACAAATAGGCTTGTTTGGCTAGAATGTAGGGTGCACAAGGGGAAGGGCAGGTAGATTAGAGTCAGATTGTGAAATGTAGGCACAGAAAGGGTCAAGGAACCTTCCACACTGGCATTTGGCCCTCCTCTTTGCATCACCTCAACTCAAAGCTGTATATTTCTTATGTGTTCTTAACCAGTCAATACCTAGAATAAGCTCATAGGTCTAGAACTTGAATTTGAAGGGACCCCCCCCACCACCATCCAGTTCAATCTCGTCATTTTACAGATGAGGAAACTGAGGCCACAGTGACATACAGGGTGGTAAACTTAGAGGTCAAGTCTTAGACTGCCCAAAGACCCACCCACCTCCTTCCTGGGATATGTGGTCTCGGAAACAGATGCCAGTGAACTTACTCATTAAGATGAGATGTGGCCACTTTCTGTGCTTATTACCAAGACTTTAATCAAATCACAAACTGATCTGGCCACCTGGGCCCCTAGAGGTCCTCAGTGTATGAAAGTCAAACTGAGCAGAGCCCCAGCCCTGCCCCACCTACATGCCACACGGCCATGCCAAGCCGGGCAAGCCCAAACCTGCCCAGTGTGGGTCACAGCAGGAATACACAATCTGCCTCATTCTGACTTTCTACATGTAGGGCTGCACGGAGCCTCCAAGGCAGGCACTGAAGGGGCGCACTCCCCCCTGGACCCGGCCCACCCTGGAGAACCCTGGCTACTGGAGATGGCACACAAGACAAGAACTAGGCTGGGAATTAAACAGAAAGAGACACAGGATTGGGCAGGAAGGTAGTGAGACAATGCTTCATGCCTAGAAACCCTTCTGGAAGTGGCCCCTTTATTCACTTATTTGTGCAGTAATTATTTACAATGCCCGCCTTGGAGCCAGGACAACACCTGGATTCAGAGTTGCTCCAGACACATATTAGTTGTGCGGCCCTTGGCAGGTCACTTCTAAGGACTTTATGCAACTCTCTAGAAGGTGCCAATCTGTACTGATGGAGAGAGTTTCCTCGCCTGAGAGTTCTCTATGCCAGCAAAACCATAGGTCTAATTCCTCTCCTTATCTATATAGTATTCTGGGTACTGATGAAAACATAGAACAGTAAAGGTTACGGACCCTGCTTTCCAAGATATTAGATTCTACTTGGGTTGAGATAAGACAGGCAAGGTAGTAAGTATAGTGGAAAGAACATTAGTCCCTGGGATGAAATCCTGGCTCTGATATTTATAAACTGTGGCATGATGGGTAAACCACCCAACATCTCTGATAAGTATCTGTAAAATGAGGTGGTTGCACCAGGTCAGGGGCTCTAAATCTGGAGTCCGTGACCTTGTTCAAAAATATTTTGACAACAGTATTTCAATTTAATTAGTTTCTTTTGTAATTCAATGTATTTTATTTGATGTATTTAAGAACATGATTCTGGAAAAAAAAAAAAAAGAGAGAAGATGACTCTGTGAAGGAACTGGCTAAACCAACTACCCAAGGAGTCCAGGGCACAAACAAGGTGAAGATTCCCTGCACTAGATAATGTCCCTGGAGACTCGATATCCTATAATCCGGATATAAACAAATCAAACAGATAAGCAGCAGGGCACAAGGTTTGTTAAGCTTTCGGCCCTACTGCCCAAACTCCCCCAGCTCAAGCCCCTACAAAGCAAACTGTCCAGCAGGTCTCCCCTATGTTCTGGCTCACTCATCACCCAATGACCTGTTTGCCTACTTCCCTGTGATCCAAGCCACTAGATAAAATGAGCAGTGTGCTGGTTCTGAAACCTAGAGAACCTGGTTCGAATCCCAGCTCCGTCACTGATTAACTGTGTGATTTTGGCCAAGCCACCCAAGTCAGTGGGCCTAGTTTCCTCAATTGTAAAGTGAGCAGTTAGTCAAGACTAGGTAAAGAGGCCATTCGCCGCCTCATTTCTTATTAAGCCTTCATCAATGAACGGGCCTTGCCTCAGTCAAATTGAGACCTGTTAAAGACCTTAGCTTGAAAAAGCCAAGGCTCTCTACTGCATCTTGGGCCATCTCCAGTCATCCTGATCCATATCTTGCCACAGGACCCAGATGGCTCCAGAGGAGAAAGTGAAGCTGGTGACTTTGCACAGCCCTGCGTCACTTAAATCCAATTCACTTGCATGTCATGGCATGACCTTCCTGATGTCATGGTCCTCTTTGAGAATCAAGGACAAACAACAAAAACAGTTGGTCGAGATGGCTTCTAAGGTCCCTTGTAGTTCTAAATCTCTGATCCTAATATACAATAATAATAATAGCTCACATTCCTAGAGTGCTTTAAAGTTTTTGAAATCCTTTACAGCCATTACTGGGTAGCTAGGTAGTGCAGTAAATAAAGCATGTGGCCTGGAGTCAGGAAGACCCAAGTTTAAACCTGGCCTCAGACACTTAGTAGCTGTGTGACCCTGGGCAAGTAATTTAACCTCGTTTGCTTCAGTCTCCTCATCTGTAAAATGAGCTGGAGAAGGAAACGGCCAAACCCCTCCAGTGTCTTTGTCAAGAAAACCCTACATATGGTCACAAAGAGTCGACATAGCAATAGCCATTATCATCTCATTGTTCCTCCCAACCCTGCAGGCGTGCTAGCATCATCACCATCATCATCACCACCACCATCATCATCATCATCATTATCACCATCACCATCACCATCATCATCCTCACCATCACCATCATCATTACCAACACCACCACCACCATCATCTTCACCGTCATCATCATCATCACCACCATCATCATCACCACCATCACCGCCACCATCATCATCATCATCACCATCATCATCATCACCATCATCATCCCCACTTTTTAGATAAACTATAGAAGGTCAAAGTGCATCGAGTCACCCTGTGAGTAAGTATCTGAGGCAGGATGTGAACTCCACTCTTGAAGCTCACTGCCCTACCCACTGTTCCATCCTCTCTCTGGTTAACTATGGACCGAGCTCTACAGCACTAAGTGAGTTCAATGAGAGTCCAGAGAAGGCTGGAGAATTTGAAATACGTTTTACTGAGATATTCTTGTTATTCAGTCTTTTCAGTCATGTCTGATTTGGGGTTTTCTTGGCAAAGATACTGGAGTGGTTTCCATTTCCTTCTCCAGCTCATTTTACGGATGAGGAAACTGAGACAAACAGGGTTAAGTGACTTGCCCAGGGTCACACAGCTAGTACATGTCTGAGGTCAGATTTGGACTCAGGAAGATGAGGTTTCCTGACTTCAGGCTGGGCACTCTATCATATGCACCACCTAACTGCCTTTTTACTGAATTAGAAACACTTAAAGGATGGGTAGAATTTTGGTAGGAAATGGAGTGAGGAGGGACCTTTCCAAGAGGGTTCATAGGATTTAAGGCTTGCTATAGACCCTGCAAGAAAGGTAAGGACTTTAACATGCAGAGCAACAGAACTGGGAGGGTGTTTAGAACATAGGCTATCATAGCTGGGAGGGCCCTTAGAACACAGAATATCAGAGGTAGGAGGGGTCTTAGAACAAAGAATGTCAGAGCTGGGAGTGGCCCTAGAACCCAGAATGTCAGGGCTAGAAGGGCCCTTAGAACAAGGAATGTCAGAGCTGGGAAGGTCCTTAGAACAGAGAATGTCAGAGCTGGGAGGGCCCTTAGAATAAAGAAAGTCAGAGCTGGGAGGGGACTTAGAACAAAGAATATCAGAACTGAGAGGGCCCTAGAACAGGGAAGATTAGAGCTGAAAGGGCTGGGACCTTAGAGATGATCTAGTCTAAACCGCTCATTTTCCAGATAACTACCCTGCAGCCAAAAGGGGTGAAATACCTTGCCCAACAGTCACACAAGTAGTAACTACAAAAGCCAGGATTTGAACCCAAGTCCTTGGACTTCACATTCCATG